ATAATTTATTTAGATTTTTATTTATATTTTTTTTAAAAAATTAACATATTTAATTTTTATTAAGATTTTTAGAAGATATTGTAAAACTTTTATTACTATAGAGTCTTATTTATCCTTATATAGAATTAATAAAAAAGCATTTGTATCTATATCTAGAAGAAAATTATAATATATATCTCAATAGATCAATTAATAATAATGAAGATGAATCTGATAGTTAAATAGAAAGTAGTAACTATGAAATTTCTTTTGGTGGCTTATGATAGTATTGATATTATACATATCATCAATTTTAAAAAAATATATAAAGTGTTAAAGGAAAAAAATATGAATATAATGAATATAGCCAAAATAATAGAAGAACTCAAAAAAATCTTAAAACTAACTCTCAATTAACTAATAATGTAAATATTAATGATATTAATTGTGCAGAATATTTATCAGCTATTAATATTAATGATCTTTTTCAGAAAATCTGAGTAGCTATTTTTTATCATTAAATGAATTGTGATCTATTCTAATAGAATTAGTTTTAATTGTAATGATACTTGATTCTCAGTTTAAAAATTTTTATTAAGATACTAGTAATAAAGAAAAAATAAGTTATACAAATTATTGCAATAATTATATAATTTAAAAAAGATTCTTAAATCTTAATAACCTACTAATACTCCAATGGGTAACGAGTAGTAAAAATAATGATGATAATAACAATTTTTTTAAAGTTTTAGAAAATAATAAAAACTTATTTAATAAAGAGGAGAAAAATGAAGTTTTACATTATTTAAACTTCAGCAAATTAATATTATAGAGGATCCTTTAAAATGGTAGAATATAAATAAAAACAGCTTTAAAATTTTATCTCAATTTACAAAAAAAATTTATCAATTCTTACCTAATGAAAGAATTATTTTCTGATATAGGCAATTATATTTCAGTAAAAATGTACTCAATTATCTTTAGAATTAGTTAATCAAGTCTTATAATTAAAGAGAAATTGTGATCATTTTAATATTTTTTTACGTCAAGATATCTAATGTTTTTTATCAATTATTTCTAGTATATAATTAGTATTAATAAAATTAAATAAAAATTAATTTAAAAAATTTTTTTTTATTTATTTATATTATATATCAAACTAATCACAATTCAGTTTTTCAGTTTTATTATAATTGAATATCTGGTTGAATTAGTTTTATTTAAATCAGTTTAAATTCAGTTTTTAAATTTAAAAAGTGGTTAAAACTGATTTGTGAAAATAAAACTGATTTAATTTCTAATTCAGATTCAACAACTTATGATATACTTGATAAAATATCTTAATATCCAATCTTTATAACATTAGAAAATATACCATAAAAATATTACAAGCAATATTTAAAAGTAATTATTGAAAATTTTTTATTTTAAAAGCAAAAAACTAAACAGAGCATAATTTAGATATTTTTAGAAGAAAATTTGGCAAACATTTTATAAATATTTAAATATTATTCTTGATCCTATCTATAATTAACTAGTAACTAAATATAATATATATATTGGTCATAAATTAGAATGAATAAATTCTATTAGCATTAATTTAACTGATTAGCTTTATATTGCTTAATGTTATCATCTGCTAATACAAAATATCTATATCATCATTATACAGTTTCTAAAAAAGATTTATTAAATATTTATTTAGATAAAAAAGAATTAATTAAATAAACATCAGAATCTACAAAAGTAGCATTACATGATAATATAGATTTATCAATTACTTATCTTCAAAATTCTATGGAATCTTAAGTAAGTATAATTAAAATTAATTTATTTTTTAATTAAATTTTAATTAAATATTAATTTATTTTATTAGATATTAATGTATATAATATGACTATTTCAAATTAATTATATCATTTAGATATTGGCTTATTTATTGTTAACTTGAATATAGTTAGCAATTTCTTAAATATTATAATGAATAAAAAGCATAGATAAAATAGATAAATAATTAAGCTTAATATCTCCTTTTTCTAATTTAAAAATTTTCAAAAATGGCTTATAGAATATTAAAAAATTTATAGCTTCTGAATATTAAGATATTATAATAATTAATATATTAACTAATTATGAAATTATAAATTATATTAATAAAAAAATGAATATTATAATTATTCAACTTTTTTATCAATGGATAGTTATGTATATAATGAGTAGAAATGATAATCATACTGAAAAATCTTTACAAGAATTTAAGATAATTAAATTTTTAGATGTATTATACTTTTTTTTTCTTTTATTCTTTTAAAAAAATATTTAAAAATTTTTTTAAATTTAGAATGCTAGATTTATTTAGGTAAAAACATTTTTTTCTTTATTACAAAATTATTTACCATTTGGATTTAGTTTAGTAAAACTCCATTTTTGGCTTTATTATATTGATAAATCAATTTGTGAATATGAAATAATAAATAGTTGAAATACAGAGACTTTTGAGAATCTTTATAAAAATTATATTAAAACACTATATAGAATAAATAATAAATGAAATATTAATACTCAGTTTATTGGATTGGTAAAAAATATTAATTTTTAATAACTGATTTTTTATTTTTTTTATATTTTTACTAAAATTTAAATTAAAATTTTAGATTCATAGAAAAATAATACTTAATTTAATAAATCTAATTAATAATATAACCAAAAAAAATAACATTTATTAAGTTAACTTCACCTGAATTGAATTTTATATTAGATTTTAATAATGTTTTTATAGATCTTTCTGATAAAGGAGCTTATGAATTAATATTACTTGGAATGAATCAATTATTAAGAAAAGTTGATGCTTGGTTTAAGGATAATTCTAAAAGTATATAAACTTTTTCATTCTGCAACCTGATCCATAGGTATCAAAATATAATTATTATAATCATCCTTGTTTTTCTGAAGGATGACTGCAGATAAATTAGACATATATGAAACAGTAGATGGGTTATGTTTTACCAAAGTTTGTAATAATTTAATTTATATGAATTATATGAATTATAATGTGAAAACTTATTATTTTCTTATATATAGCTACTATTATTATTTTGTTTAAAAGATAATTTTTTAATAACTGATCTTGCAGTAATTCAATGGTTTGACTTTAAATATCAGTCAGAAGATTTATATTGAAACATGGTTGTCCATATGTAAAACTACTTAATGAATATGATATAATTCCCATAGAATCAATTACGAATCCAGTTCATGTTGTACCTCATTTTGGGCATGATAATTCATTTTTTATAAATTTGTTCCTTTTTAATAAGCGATAAAATTATTCAGTAATAAAAACTTTATTAAAAAAAATAAAGAATAAAGAAACATTTGCTTCTATCTTTAATAATGACATAATATTCTATTTAAAATTTTAATCAACTCGGAATTCTACAGATATATTCTAAATAAAATCCACATATTCCGCTAAAGAATTCCAAAAATTCCAATGAGATTTTACACCAAACGAAAATCTACACAATTCTCAAATTAAATAATATATGTGGAAACATGTTCACATAATCTGATGCATAGAATTCCGCAAATTTCCAAACTAATCTATGTGGAATTACATTGACCGATCTACCTAAAAATTTCCTGGTGACCATAAAGTCTCGTTTCCATAATCTGATATGTATCCACAATAAAATCCTTCCTTAGGATAGCAGGACGATTTGGGAGTGTTTAAAAAGCGTCACGAACTTGCCTCATATCATTCAATGTGCCCTTAAACTATTTAGATTCAGTTAATACTGAAATGACAGAGGCTCCAGCTTTATCATAAATAAGTGGTTGCTCGGCCTCATTGACCGGTAAATCAATGTTTCCTTTACTCGGTGAAGCTCATTTAATTTTGGCGAAAATTGACTGATATTTTGGTAAAGTTTGTTTAATCCTTGTAACGAAATCAATATGAGGAGGCGCCACATGAAGAGATAATTAAAGTTGCGAACAAATCCCTACACCCATTTTGCAAAAGTCGAAACTTTTCAGAAATTATTTCGATGGTTTCGACGGGTTTCGACGGGTTTCGATGGGTCTCGAAGTTTTGACAGTTTCGATAACAACTTTGCGAATTTGACTGTTTAACAGGTTTATTGTAATACTATGTAGAATATAAAAACGATTTTTATTTTTTTGCTTTTTATTTTAAATTAGATCAAAGTTTCCAAAATAATTCACTATTTATCGAGCAGGCTTTAAATTGGGAAGCACTGATACTTGTTGAAGAATTTACCCTATGAAGAATTTGAGTATAGAGGTTGAAACCGTGTTTATTTTTATATCCGGATTTATTTAATTTTAAAAATCGGATCCGGATTTAAATCCGAATATCGAATCTCTATTTCAAAACTGTGCAGATCAAATAAAGTTTACACCCTGCGGATATCTGGGTTTAAACCAGAATGTCAAATTTTTAGATGATTTTTCTAATGAAAGTTTAATGGATGAAGTAGAAGAAAATAAGAATATTGTCATGAGTTTAAATGAAGAAAATATGGGAAATAAATGATGTAACTGGACTTGATGATCAATATCGATGTGTAAATTTTTTATTTTTATTTTTTTATCTAAAAGAAAGTGATCTTTGCTATATACGATTTGCTCGTTATACAAAAATAATAAATTTTTAAATTCAAAAACTTGTATTTTAGTATCAGAAGGTTTCGATGGATTTTGCCATCTATCGAAATTTTTGCCACCCGTTGAAACTTTCGCAATTTTGCCTTTAATGAAAATATTTGACAAAATGTTTCGACGGGTTTCGATTTCGATGCATGTCGAAACCTCCGAATTTTGCCCGGCAACCTTAGAGAATAATAATGTCTTTAAATCGTTAAGTGAAGAACCTGGTTGTCCTTTTGCCAACTCGATATCTTTTAATCGTTGATTATGAATCTTTTCGAGTATAGTTTATACAGGTTTTGTTATGGCGGCAGTTTTGCCAGAGGTGGATTAACGCAGAATGCACCCATTTACCACCTTGAAGCCTTAAGAAATTTGATACTTTCAGAATGAAATTGTACACCTTCGATTGTAAATTCACGATGTCTCACGCCCATTAAGTCACCAGATTCCGTCCAGCTAGTAGTTTCTAATTCATAAGGTTCCGTATTTGGGTGTCCAGCTAATGAATGATATCCGGTAGCTTTAATACCTTTTGGGACATAAAGATAACAACCATGTGTTTTAGTACTAATTTTGCCACGTACGATTTCACCTGCGTAATCAATCATCTCCCATAAATTTCAAAAATACATTGTTCTCCAAGACATACACCAAAAATTATAATCTTTCCGGCAAAATGCGAGATACATCACGAGAAATTCCTGAATCTGTCGATGGCTTTATAATTATATTTTTTTGGATTAATTGAGACTATATGTTCAACTGTGGTCTCATCATTACGAAATACTTGAACTTGTGCATCGAGTTCCGATATGTATTTATAAACATTCCAAGTGAATGAATCATAATTATCAATTAATATCGTAATATTTGATTTTTATGATGCTGGTGACACATAATCGATAAAAAAAAGAAAAAAAATGAACAAAAAAAGCAAAAGTTTTTTTACTGTCGTACCAATATATGTTACATTGACTACACTATTAATGCACAAAGCTGAGTGCTTAAATAAGATATTCCTGGCGGGTCCGTAGCCTTGATTTTTTTCCGTTTCGTTATCATATTTTATTTAACGAAAATAAACCCGAGTTTAACGAAATCAAAATTATGAATAAAAATCCCATATTTCTTACCGGAATTTATTGTAGTAACATTTTTAGTAGTTGATTTTTTTTTTTTTTTGTTTTAAAGTTTCGATATCTCTAAATAAATAATAATAATAATATTTAGTTAACGACGATCGACATTTGCTGTCCGTTATGGTTGGCATATCCGATAGACCTAATTTTGATGCATTATCCCAATCGTTCTAGTCTGCTGTTTCGTTTATGAAATTTCCAAGAGATAATAAGAAACGTGAACCGAAATTTTATATTTGTATTCATTTTGTTGGCGCTATTCAATTCTACATCAACATAATCCTTTGGTTCATGTCTCACCACAACTATCCCTAATCTCTTTAACAAATTGTACCTTATCCTTGTCGTCCCTGACAAGTCGCGCTTTTACTATTTCCTGAACGCTAGCAAAAGAAAATATGTCATAAACGATCCTTTTATTTTACTTTTATGAATTTATACATCATTCGTTATTAGTGTTGAAAAAAAGAAGAGAAATTTAATTTGTTCTTGACTAGAATTTAACACATTTATTTATTCCGAATAAAGTGACTTTGAACACGATTTATGTGGTAATAAAGTTGCAATCGAATTTTATGTGATACTCAAATTTTTCAGAAAAAGTGATTTTGGTTCTTTCCTAATTCTTAATTTACCCTAACATAAAATCTTCATATTCTTCGCAATCGAAAATATATTTATTAATAATGGTAAAAAAAAAAAAATTTAAACTTACCATCCATTTAGATCCCACGAATTTTTCATTGAAATAAATTCAAGTGACTGTTTTTATAGTTTTTCTTTACATTTAGTTTATTTATTGTTTATATATCATAATTTAAAATTATATAATTAGTTTTAATTTTCTTTAAATTGAGAAATGAAAATTGAATAATGTTATTTAATAAATTATTTATATAATTACGATTATATTCTATATATTATATAACCAACTAATTACAATATACAATAAAATAATATAATTCTATAGTTATATAGAATTTGGAGAAAAATGATAAGTATCTTTAAATTTATTGCCAGCTACCTTGCATAATAAAAATTAAAAATTTTATTGATGTTTTGGCATACTTTGATAATTAATCCTGATATACAACGAAATAGAAATTGGCTAAAGAATAGAAACCTAATTGATGATGAATTGTAAACAGTAAGTAGATTAGTAGATATCTTAGATTTTGCTAGAGCGACTGAATGCTTAGGTTAAAGCAATTATATAACAATTAGCCTGTTGTATAACCTATTAGCAGTGATAGTAAACAAAATGATAACTGAGAACTCTAATATAGAAGGTATATATCTAACTAATCTGAATACTGTCTTTAACAATTATGTTAATTATAAAGATTCCCTAAGTATGAGATTACTCAACAACCTAAATGTAGAAAATTAACATTTATTTTCATAAGATAGTTTTAAACTTGAAAAATGTATTAAAGTAACATTATATTAATTTATTAATTATTATTGAAACATTCTACAAGAGAAAGAAATATTAACTGCTTTGTTAGATCCATAATTCAAGGATTTAGAATTTGTCTTCTCTAAATATTGCGTACTAGAACTCAAAAGATATCTATCAAAATATGAAAAATTTAATTAATGAAGATCAAAGGTGAATACAGACTCACTTTATCAAATTCATTATTGGGCAAGAATGTTACATTTATGCAGATGAAGTAGCTAATTATTTGGCTATGTCTAAGATTTATCCTGATTTTTTATTATGGTGGAAAATTAATAAACTCAATTTCCAATATTATAAAATTAGCAAAAATGTACCTAGTAATTCCTACCTCTTCTACTCCAAGTGAAAGGCTTTTTATTGAAGCTAGTAATGTCATGACTATAAAAAGAACGCAATTAGCGCATAACACATTAGAAAATCTAGATTTTTTCTAAAAATAGTAAATTATAATATAAATATCTTAATTACTATCTGCATCTCACTTATTATTATCTCATTTATGGCGGGTTCATGTCGGTCATTCAACATCTGTAAACTGTGATCAACAAATCTTTCAAACAGGTTTTAACAAATTTCCTCTCCCAATAACAAAAAAATTGTCCAAGTGACCACTATTCTGAAGATTCATTTCAAGGATTTTCTGCAAAACCTCCAGTGCATATTGCATAATTGTTAAGTAGAAACAAATATTAAAATAACTAAAACTAGTTTTAAAATATATACCTCTCCGTCACTTGGTTTCGCACTTAATTTACTACTTAAATCAAAATCTGTAAACAATAATGAAAGGATTTTTCTTCTTCTACAAGGACGCTTTCTGGCTTTAGATCTCTAGGAAGCCATCCCTTTCGTGTATGGGAAACGGTTAGTGGAAAAGGAAATTCCACTTTTTAGTAAAAAATTTTTTATTGGTTCACTCTGCTGATCATGGTCATGTAAACAAAACTAGCTTAATAACTAAAATTACTCAAAATTTGATTTCCCCCTTTCTATTGACCGCCCCCATATGGAATATATTAAGCATAATATATAATTATAAAAAAAATGCATTAAATTAAATTAAAAACATAATTACTAATATTCAATTCATGTATTAGTCTTATAATATCACAATCAGCTTATCTTTTCTTCTTGATTGCATGTCGATAATGAATGAATTGTGAGGGGATGGGATTGGTCCTGGTAAGATCGGTCTAAAACTGGCTAATGGGACCAATCCTTGCGGACCTCGGTCCATATTCTGAGGACCGGCTCTTTATTATTTATAGCATATAATGTTTTAAACCCGGACCAGTTTTCTTCAAATTTTTATATTTAATTATGAACCATATAGTATGTATTATTAACATTTATTAAAACGATAATGTCCGAAATGTAGTTATCGAAAACGGCAGAAATGTCAGAAGTAAAGAGACTAAGGTGTAATAATCGTTTTATATTCAATTATTATTATTAGTGTACATTTAGTTATGATTAAAATTGTTTTTATTAAATTTATAAATTGATTATTAAAAATATATATATATCAGGTTAAATAAATATTTATTTTCAATTATGTTCTTGCTCCAATCTTATAAATCGATCTGGATTGAAGAAGAAAATAAATTTTAGACTGGCGCAGACGGTAGGACCAATGATACAAGACCCGGTCTAAAGAAGATGAGAAAACTGGTCTTTTTAGTCCGGACCAGACCAAACAATACCGTATTCAGTTAGTCAGTGATATTATCAAATAATTGTAAATTCAAAAAACACCAAAAAATGATTTCAAGAATATTAGTTTATCGAAATCAAAAAATAGATACAGTAGTTGTATTTGTAATACTTTGTCTTTCTAGAATGCGATGGGTCGATCTCGATCGAGGTGTCAAATACGCTCATCATTTGTTTGTTCCTGCACCTACACTAATAAAGATGCTCAAACTGATTTTCATATTGTTGTTAAATTTAGGTTTTATATATAATTATTTAAAGAAACTTTCTGTCATCTGACGTGATAAATACATAATTTGTTAGCAAAAGTAATGTGCATTTTTCTACCATCTCTCATAATATTGTTTTTTGATGTTAATTTATATAAATACCAATGAATCATTTAGAATGATAGATAATTCTTAAGTCTTGGAGAAATAATCCATTATATTAGAATATTTGATTTTGTCAGTTAAGAAAGTTTTTATAATAAATTGATTTTTAGTCACGGTAGAGAGGAAATGCAAAATAAATTGTCAAAATGGACGATTGATATAAAGTTAGTTATTGAAATTTTAAATAATTGTTAGATTTAATTAATTTATTCTCATTGTAAAAGACAATTATTTTATAAAGTGTTTGACTTTAAAAGAACTTTCTCAAATTAGCTTTAAAAACAATTATCCTATATATGAATAAGTATATTAACGACATATACAATAATCGATAACATGTTAATGTTATTGTTTTAGGGTTAAATCTTCTAGTCAATATTACCATATTTTTTTTTTTTTTAAAAAAAAGATAATACATATACAATGATAAAAAGAATATAATTACAATTTTAAATTTATTAGTTATATTAAATTGTTGATTTAAAATGCAATTAGTTAAATCATTAAATGCTGAAAAAAAATAATTTATGACAAAAAAAAAGAAAGATTTATAATAATAACACTTTAATTTGAATGAAAACAATAACATTACGAATTGTCTATATACTAAGAAAGCTTAATAGTTCTTTTACTTCAAAAAAAAACACTTGAATATTGAAACATGAAGAAGGTTACTAATAGGGTTATTAGATAGAAGTCAGGTAGATTTTGTATAATAATAATTAGAGTATTGAGTTTTTAAATATTCAGGTTTGATATTTGTTAAGGAATTGGGTAAATTTGGTAAGCTATTTATTTGTGTATTAAAACACCAAAGTCTTTTTAAGGAATTTGGTAAGGTTGGTAAACAGGATATTGGAGTATTATTACATTCGAGTATCTTTAAAGAGTTTGGTAAGGTTGGTAAACTAGTTATTTTGGTATCAAAGCAATCGAGTATCGTTAAGGAGTTTGGTAAGGTTGGTAAAATAGTTATTTTAGTACCACCACAACTGAGATTCGTTAAGGAGTTTGGTAAGATTGGTAAACTAGTTATTTTGGTATTAACGCAATCGAGTTTCGTTAAGGAGTTTGGTAAGGTTGGTAAACTAGTTATTTGAGTATTATAACATTGGAGTGTTGTTAAGGAGCTTGGTAAGGTTGGTAAGCTAGCTAATTGGGTATTATCACAACTGAGTTTTGTTAAGGAGTTGGGTAAGGTTGGTAAACTAGTTATTTGAGTTTTATAACAATAGAGTTCTGTTAAGGAGTTTGGTAAGGTTGGTAAACTAGTTATTTTAGTACCACAGCAACTGAGTTTCGTTAAGGAGTTTGGTAAGGTTGGTAAGCTAGTTATTTGAGTTTTATAGCAATAGAGCTCTGTTAAGGAGTTTGGTAAGGTTGGTAAACTAGTTATTTGTGTATCATCGCAACTGAGTACCGCTAAGGAATTTGGTAAGGTTTGTAAGCAAGTTATTTGTGTATCATCGCAATAAAGTTTCGTTAGGGAGTTTGGTAAGGTTGGTAAACTAGTTATTTCAGTTTCATTACAATAGAGTTCTGTTAAGGTGTTTGGTAAGTTTGGTAAACTAGTTATTTTAGTACCACAACAACTGAGTTTCGTTAAGGAGTTTGGTAAGGTTGGTAAGCTATTTATTTGGGTATTACTGCAATAGAGTTCCGTTAAGGAGTCTGGTAAGGCTGGTAAACTAGTCATTCGAGCTACTTTGCAATAAAGTTTTGTTAATTTTCGATATCTTTGCAATCCTCCTAAAGTGTTTAATATATCATCCTTATTAAGTTCCGTAATCGACAAACTATAAATCGTATCATCGTAAATAATGGCGAATGTTTCATTATTCGATTCTAATTCTTCTACACTCATCTGATTAAAATTTTGAATTATCCGAGATAATTCTCCATGTAATGAATTATTAATACTTGAATAGGGTTGTTGTTGAAGGTTTGATTCTTCATTATTAATTTGATCATGTTTTATTATATTTGTTTTTGTAATAATTGCATTTAATTTATCAACTACCTTATTCATAACTGGACGATTGTCTGGCTCTTTGTCCCAGCACTCTACAATCATATAAATAATTTAGTGATCGAAAAAACATTATATCTGAATTTGAATTTAAATTTAGTAATTATATATTTACCAATATAAATGTTTACATAATCTTCAGGCGTACCAGGAATGACACTTTCTCTGAGTCCTTGTAAGATTTCAATGGCTAAATCAATGTCGTATGGCTCACCTTCAACATAAAAAGGAGGATGACCACTTGATATCTCCCATAATAGAACGCCAACACTGTAAACGTCACTTTTTTCATTTAACGTGTATTTTTGTGATGTATTGTCATTTCCATGTAAGGAATTATACCAAAAACTTTTGACTGGTTAGTTGCTTCGTCAATTCTTTTCGATAGACCAAAGTCTGCTAGTTTAATTGCACCTTGATGAATTAATATATTGCCGGAATGCTATATATGTAAATAAATTAAATATTAAATGTTTAACGGTAAGATTCTTAATAAAACAAAATAGGATATATATTAAGTAAGATACCAGATCACGATGCACAATTCCTTCTTCATGTAAACATGACACAGCACTAGCCAATTGAAATGCCAAGTTGTATTTGTCTCCCCAAGAAAGTTTATCAAAATTGCCTTTCAAATATTTTCTAAGTGCACCGCCATCAGCATATTCCATGACTAACCAATACCTTTTCAATTGATCAATTTGATTTTCTAATTTTTTTTTTTTTTTTAAAAAAAAATAATAAATATTTAAAAATTTCAAATGTAAAAGTCAATATGTATTCCTAATGATTTAAGATGTTATACCTTGGTTTGATGTTGTAATCCCCAAAAGGCGAATGATATTGCAATGAAAATCAACACTCCGTTGAAATTCAAGCTAAATTATTAAGATACATTTTTCTTAATAAATAAATGATTTATAATAAATAGAATTAATTAAATGCAATACGTATTTCATTTGTAATTACCTCACGAGCAAGTTCTTTAACAGTTGCATTGTTAAAGTCATGTAATAATTTTAACGCGAGGTATTGCTTTGAACTTTTCCAATTTGCACGGTAGACCTTTCCAAAGCTGCCTTTACCAATCTCTTCAAAATTAATAAAATGTTTGTATTCGTAGAATCTGATATCTTTTCTTGAAATATATTCTTCAAACCATTCATTTGAATTATTGGAAGCTTGCATTTTGATTTTTTTTAATTCAAGCGAAATGATGAGAGAAAAAATGCACTCGGTAGATCATGCAACATTTATTTTTTTTTTTTTTTATTTTTTATTTTTTTTGATTGGTTCTAAGATCATGCAACATTTATAAAATTTCTAAGCCGCTGCTCATTATGAACGGTGTAACCGTATTTCTTAGAACATTCTGTTGATATCAGGTATTGACAAGTTTACTTTAGATTCGATCGTGGCTTTAGTAATAATAATTTTGCACCAAATTTAATATCTTTAACCGTTAGTCATCTACACAGTCCAATTAATTTAATTCAATCAAATTTCCAACATTAACTTAATTAAGTTTGAAGATTGTTGCCTATCTTTGGATGGTTTGAATCCCTTAATAGGATTATAATTCAATTGTTATGTGCGTCGATCTCATCTGATGATCCAAAATCAATTCAAGAATTTTATACTTTGCATCTTTTTTATTTCATTATTTAGAAATAAAAAAATTCTGTTGTAAATAAAATCCATTTGGGAGGTATTTATATTAATTAAATATATTACGTAATATTCCGATCGACTGCAGTTTTTTCGAGATCGATAATTAGAAACGAAAAAAATTAAAATACCGCAATAGTTTAAGTCCCTGATATCTGTGGTTTCCGAGGGTTATATACAGTAAATGGGAAGTTTGCTAGGAAAATCAGGCTTGGGATTTTTTTTTGACTAAAATTAAAACCTTATTAACATTTTAATCTTTTAACATCAAAAACTAAAATGCTAATAAAAATTAAAAATTTCCCAGAGCCTGATTTTCCTAGCGATATAAGGTCATCCTGATTTTTTGTCAAGGGAAAAAAAGACATTTCACTCATGAATTTAATTTTTTATCACATTTTTTTCATCGGCAGTTCTTTCACCGTAGAACATAAGTTCGTACCTTCTAACCGTGCGACGGCCCATATTGACGATCCCTTTTGGTCAGGAAGGTTAAAACTGTAAAACGTGAGCCACCCTTAACTAATATTAACATCACTATGTGCGGGAGTACCTATGATTGTCGCATCACCTTTATGTTAGGGATGATCTTTCGGCTTCGTCATATACCAAAAACCATGATAATAACTACATATGCAATTTAAGAAATTACACGACGAAACTTCTTTCGATTCCTAAAATTACATATAAGCAAGAAGTACCTAACCTAGATCATGTAAACTCATCTAACTGCACAGTATTGCAGTGTAGGTATATGCCCGATGCCCGGATGGGTAATTAATCAAACAGTACATATAGCCGAATGCATCGATCATTTGACAAATAATGAAGTTGGAACATACGCCTGTATCTCTTCAGTTCGGTTCAAGCAGCTCGTTCAATCTGAAGGTTATGGTGTTGCTACATATCACATGATTAATTATCAACAAGCTATTCAATGACTCCATGATGCCATTAATGACCTAAGTATTAAAATGACTAATAATCTAAAAGAATTGCGACCACTGCCGCCGCACCGCCTAAGAAATCTAGCTCAAAACAATTAATCTTGCAGTCGCTGGCATTACTTTTTTAGCCATTCCTTTTACCTTGACGGCACCTATAGTTATTGACACAGCAGCGGCCGCGGATACAGACATTGTCGAATCCTCCGAACTTGTTAAAATATATCACGAAAGTCTATTTTACTATCGTTAAAATGTAATAATATTTTTTTGAAAAGAAGACATGTCACTTGAAAGAATGAGTTATTTTAAATATTTCATGAAACTAGATATGAGAATGTCAAGTAGGATCCAAAGTTATTAAAGATAGAAAACTATTTAGTTGAAAAGCATCATTATTTAAAATCGAATTATCAAAATATTAGTTGAACATGTATTAGTTTGATGCATATTAATTGAATCAAATGTTTTGAACGAGATGTATTAGTTGTTTCATTTGAGTTATTCAACATACGAAACTTATCATATTCATGTTGTTTGTAATTGATGTAAGAGGCTTATGCGCGACATCTATAATAATATCTAAAAAAAAGAATAAAATATTAAACAATACATAATAAATAATAAACATGGTTTTAAAATGAAATGTGAATTTTATAAAGATTTCATCATAAATTTCTAAAAGTTTACTAATTGGAATCGAAGGAATGTTTTTAATAGACTTAACATGTAATTTAGTAAAAGACATAGTCTGTTCTTATATTTCGCCATTACCAACTTCTTCATTACCAACTACTTTATCGTCAACTTCATCATTATCATCTTTTGTTGTCATTATTTTCGCTATCGTCTTCTTTGTTATCACTTTGGTCTTCGCCATTGTCATCTTTTTTATCATCACGATTTTTGCTATTAAAAATTATATTTTTCTTTTGAACTTGCTTAGCAGGAGTCATTATTGCTCTTGTATTTCATCAATATCATCATCGGTATCATCATCACCATCGGTGTCGTCGGCCTCGAAACAATCACCATCATCTATTTCGATTTCGTCATCAACTATTAATCCTAGAGCCTTTAAAAGTTCGTTTTCGACAACAATCTTATCACAGGCACTAAGAACAGAATCGATTAGTATGTTTCGTACCATAGCCAAATAGAAGATATGCTGGTTAACTAGAATATATTAACTTTATTTTAGCGTTCTCATGATAGAAGAATCAAAACTGTTGTTCGCGAATCAGTCATGTGGGATTGATCCCCCGTGTTGATCCAAGCTAGAGATGCGATACATAAATTTCCATGGATGGTGAATTCAATTTTTGGATGATGGATGTAGTTGCAAAGTAAGTAAAGTTAATAATTACTCGATGACTGCTTTGATTTACACATAAATGCTAATCGAACTTACTTTCTGTAGAATACACCTCGGATTTTATGACTATCATACAAAACATATAAAAGAGATCGAAGGAAGAGGTACTAGTATAAACTCATCATCAACGGGATATCTTTTTGCCGAATCTGATCTTCAGGTGAATAGCGAAAACTACGAGCAATTTGAAAAGGCAGGCGTCTATGGCGTTCGACGATGAGTCCTCTATAGAATCGTGACCACAGGTAGGATTTTTAAAAATATTTTGTATTATTTTTTTTTCGCGTACGCGATTAACGAAGTGACGAAATGCAGGGCGTATTTGCGAATAGTTTGATCGTCGCACATTAATGCAGGGAAATTTACGGCAAAATCTTAATTCGTGATTGGTAAGTTGAAAATCTGGGCAACAATCTCCGTGAACACTTAGCGAATAAGAAAAATATAGGTCAATGTTACAAAATATATAGCACTTATTGACAAAATTAATTAAAAACAAGTGTAGTTCAAAAAGGCAGCGTTACTATCATTATAGAATTCTTTTCATCAATTTAAAGTCTGTTTTTAATAAAGGAAACTAAAAAATATGAAATTAGGAATAAGGAATTATACAGAGGAAATAAATATTATGTCAAAAAATAATATAAAGAGGAATTCAAACTGAAAATACATTTGAATCTTTCTGGAAGTAATCCTCATTTGACGTAAATAAATTTGCAGAGCGAGCAAAAATACAAAATATAAGATTTTAATAGATCTGGTATATGTGCCGATCTTTTGTCGACCATTTCCAAAAAAAGTATCTGAACATGATTTGTGATGTAAACAGATGACAAATTTAAGTTACAAAAAGTCATATAAATAATATTGTCTTTATTTTCAACGCGAAAAACTACCAATATGTCTTTACGACACAAAAGAGCTTTAGAAATATTGCAAGATCCCGAATTTAATAAGTATTTTAAGGATACTGTCAAAAAATCTTTTAATATAAAAGCGTTGAAAGAGTGGGAAGAAGCAGGACAACCGTACGAAGATGATGATGACGATTTAGGAATTTATTTATAATCTTTTTAAGCTGTTTACAAAATCTCATTAAATTGAAACTTATCCGATAATGTAGCATACTTTGAATATAAGAAAAACGAAGCTCGTAAAAATGGCGTTAACTCTGGATCAGTTAACACTGTTACTGAATCAAGACTAGTTGGTAAGTATATTAATGTTCTACTTGATTAGTAAAGCAGAGTTACTTAACTTTTTAAGATTTTAAAGGAACCGGCGGATGTAGCTCTCCCAACGGAAAAAAACAAAATATTGGAAGTATGTCTAGGATTTACCCCAACTGTGACCAGAAGTCCGGGAAGGAAAGCTCGTCTCATGCTCCCGTCAGCAAACAACCTACCATATACAAGAACAATAAACATGGTGGTAAAAATTCTAAGCCAAGAAGAATTCCCAACTCTGACAATATTTCTAAGAAAAATGATCGGCGACATGAATAAGCTAAACCTTTTTATATTGAAAGAAATGTGGAAGTCACTTTAAGAGAATTTGGAGAAAATGAATTACGGTTAAATCCACCAGCTCAAATTGGAGATCTAATCCAAAAAAATTGCTTTTTTTTATGTTTTAATTTTACCAAGATACTTTCGTTTAATATTATTACATTTCAAGGGACGATAGTTTAGAGCAATCGCCTTTTTTGAAGATCATACGTTATATTTTTTGAATAATTTTTACAGTAACTATCGCAGTAATAGATAACCGTTGTCTTTGGGTATGTGAATAATTTGCTGGGTAAAATATAATTTGCATTATGTAAGCCACAAAAACAAGATTGCAACTTTGCTAAAGAATATTAATTAAAAATATAAAATTTCTTTATTATTCATCAACACACCATAACATTTAATCACATCAGTCATTCAATTATCTAACATTTATTGCTTGCCTTTGATTTTCTAAACCTTATATTTTTGAACCTGGGACGAAAGTTGGTCATTTACTCGATATACTTAGCCATTTCGTTAATCATTCTTTCAATCTGTTGTCTATCATTCAAGTACGAAAATCTGACACGTTTCCCATCATAATAGAATATTAATCATTGACATTATCATTGACATAATGTTAATAATAGGAAATATTTGAGAAAATACCTTAAAATGTAGAAACTTGAAAAGTAAGAAATCAATAATTCTAAATAGTAATTAATTACCTTCAGTCTTTTATAGGCAGGTAAAAAAACCATTCCTCAGGATCAAGAAACTTCTGTATCTATAATCAATTAATAATGATCGAAGGCCATCCCGTATGCTAATTTTGATTGTCAAGAAATTGAATCCAAAAGAAATGTTTGAACGATGAATTGACGAAGTATATAAAGGTGTTTGATTAGCTTTGATTATTTATTGATTGATCGCATCATGAAACTCAGCAGTTACTTCTTCCCTAATCACCTTATATGAATGAATGAAAATGATGTGATGTCATTTCTGTTATTACTATCTTTAATTTGACGACGATCCGACGGTCCTGGTTCAATTTTATAAAATTGGTAAAAAATGGTTTGTAACTCAGGAAACCCAAAATATGCTGAATCGCTCTATTTAAACAGTGCCATCCCTAGTTGCATTTCGAAGTAACAGAATATCATTATATTTTTTTATTCCTTATAATTTTTTCTAATATTTATGATTGAGAAATTATGGAATACAGACAAATTATTTAATTGTGCATATTTAGCTTCACATTTCACCCGCTAGTTATATTATCAGTTTGAGTATCCTTCATAATATTAAAAACGCATTTGCTAATTTATTGCGAAAAAAAATTTTTGAATTAAAAATTTATAAATTATTACCTTTATAATTAATTATAAGAAATATTTTCATTGTAATTAAAATTTACTTCCTTAATCTATTCATTACTATTAACACCCCATATCCCATCTTAAAGAAAGAATTTAAAATCTGTATAATGTTATTTGCTAGCTGCACATATTTACATTCGTATCATCTGTTCTTGAACAATTCGAGACTTAGTATTTGGCCTCGCTTTCGATTATTTTTTTTTTCGAAACTTGCTCTTCATATTCAAATGGGTGATGTATCCGCTCGAGAGTTAAGTCTTTCAATTACTGTATAATCAAAAAAAGAAACATCAAAAATAAAAATAAAATATAAATAAAAATGAATTTTTTTTGAAAAAATCTCAATATAAATACACGTCAGGCCATCGAGGGTACCCAATGATAAATTTATTTCGCGAAGATACGCAAAAAAATTGGTCAGACTAATCAAAAAAAAGAGAGTTTATCCTTGCGGAGTACAGTCCGACGATCTTTTTGAGTACAGTCATATGAATTTGGGTTCTGATCATCGGACCCACGTAATCCAGTAACTTGCCTAAAATTATTTGAGTCTGACAATTAGTTTTAACGTCACATAAGCTTTAATATGATCAATATCATCATCATATGGGGGCTAAGCTATTAAAATTACCTTACGGGACCCCACCAACTAAAATTGAGATTTTTGATTCATATTATTATATGATATATGAACTTTATTTGGTTA